GGAAAAAATTTTGTAAATTGATTTTTTGTTTTTAAATTTTGTGTAGAATTTACACTGAAGAGGGGCTCATACAAGCCTGAAATGCATATGTAATTTACAATAAAGGAATACTTAACCTCAGAGCTGAAAGAAAGTCTACCGTTTGTTAACCATTCGGATTGAAGAGACATATACTAAATCTAAGAATTGAAGAAGTTTGATTACATAACAAATCAACTTTTTAAAGCTTACCATACGAATTATCTTATTTAGATATGGTCTTATTTCTTCTTCGGTAAAATATGTAGAAATGAAACTATCAGTCACTATCACACATTCAATCACCGGACACGGTGGTGTAGAATCTATTTCAAAATCCTCTGCATCTGCTACATCTTCTACGGTTCTCTTCTCCGTCAGAGATGATTCTACCAAAGTAAATTAAATACAGTAGAGCGTCGATTATCCGAATCAGTTCGGAACTGGGGTTGTTCGGATAACCGATTATGTGCGAAAAAATAGTTTAATTTTAACTTATCCTATGTTAAAATTTATCTCCGTTGCGTGTCGCTTTGCGTTGAATTTTCGTCGATGTTAAGCCTAACAAAGACTATTGTATTGTTAAAAATTGATTCTATGAAAGTAAATTAAATACAGTAGAGCGTCGATTATCCGAATCAATTGGGGACTGGGGTTGTTCGGATAACCGATTATGTGCGAAAAATAGTTTAATTTTAACTTCCTATGTTAAAATTTATCTCCGTTGCGTGTCGCTTCGCGTTGAATTTTCGTCGATGTTAAGCCTAACAAAGACTATTGTATTGTTAAAAATTAATTTTTATTGTGTACAAACAAAATAAATATATTGAAAAATATAAAAACAATAAAAAATTATACTTCAGATGTTAATTTAGTATCAAAAACGTGAAATATTTGAGTAGCCCAAGACATAATCAAAGATTGAAGCGCCACAGCACTGGCGAAAATTTAAATTTGCCGACTGGAATNCTTTTTTTTCGGATGACTGATGTTTATTAATATCGCCTTTTTCGCCTAAATTTAAAATCATATAGGAATTTAAAAAAGATAAACAAAGCAAATGACAAACAGTTTACACCAAGTAAACATAAAATTGTTATTCTAGAAAGATATTTTGAAAGTTTATTTTATTGCAAATCAACAAAAATAAAAATTGAAAATAAATTTTTACGTTCAAATCAATTAATTTCTGCTTAGAAATTTCTTGATTTTAACGATATAAATGAACAGATATTTATTAGCGTATACTCAGAAGATTACTTTATCTTGATTGTTACAATTTAATAAAAAGTCTAAGTAGAATGTTTTTTAATATTCAGTTTATAGATTAACTTCAAAAATGTAAATAATCAAATGTCTATTTATATCTTTATAACAACGATAAAAAATAAAGGGAAATCAATGGATAATTTTAACCAATTAAAAATTATTGCCACAGTTGTTACCCTTTCGTTACAAGTTTTTTCTTATAAATGAGCATTGTTTGCATTTATCTAGCGGTGAAGATCGATTTATTTGCTGTATCTGTATTCAGCAATGTCGATAAATAATGTAATAGGCAGTTTGTAAATATAAAATATAGCATTGTTTAATTAATTAATGACCAAAACCTGAAATGTACTCAAAATCAAGTCGTAAGTATGCATTAAACACTAGTACATTAGCCTTTAGATTAGAGTTGTGACAACTTTTTATAAGATTATTTTAAATTAGCAATTGATTTCAATTTTATTTTTGAGTATCTTATTTTATTATAAAAATGTTGTCGTAATTTCTGTTTTGATGCTTTTTTCATTGTAATGGAACCGGATTAGGAATTATTACAAAAGATACAAAAATAAAAAAATAAATTGTTATTCATTTGCAGAAAATCGTCAAACGCTCTAATTGTCTCCAGCAGAAAACGAATGCAAAGTTAAATGTCGTTCCACCGTATAACATTTTAATTTTGTTATTTAAACATCCCGTAAAATTACTATTAATTGTATGTGTTTATATTCATTGCGAACACGTTATTAAACAGTTAATATAATTATATAATAAAACTTACTTATACAATTTATATTTATACGCAGTTCTAACTTTCGATAATATAACTTTCGACAATCGATAAATCTCTTAAACAATAGTTGAAAACTTATTCTTATAGCTTATTGTTTATGCAACAATAAAAAACGTGCTTACGTAATCGAAGATNCATTTTTTTACGCACTACTAACTTTCGATAATATAACCTTTAACAATCGATAAATTTCTTCAACAATAGTTGAAAACTTATTCTTATAACTTATTGTTTATGCAACAATGAAAAACGTGCTTACGTAATCGAAGCTCGTGCTAAGCATTACGCTTGTCAATCAGTCTTATTTTTGGAGATTTTTTGTGGATAACTATAAAGAATGACATGTGCGATTATAAGTAAGGATATTTGTTTGTTTGTTTGCTAGAACGGCCTAGAAGTATACACTTTTAGGCCGTTCCTCCAATTGTTAAGAAACTCGGTTCGGTACTTACTTTGAAATATTTCTAACGTACATGATGTCGTACATTTCATTGAATTTCTATAAATCGATTAATTTTTATTTTCGTTTCTTTTTCGTTTGCTTATTTATGGCAACGCAACACTTGGGTGATCTGCCTAGGGGGTTCTTTCTGTGAGGTCTTTTAAGGGAAACTGGCTTCTATTTAGATGTTAGAGAAATGAAGAAAACTCAGAAAATTCCACGTGACCAGCCTGTCAGAGCGCAGCTCGATTCCAGGACCAAACTCCCAGTGTTGTTGGACTAGTTTACTTAATGGAACAATATCTGCTCTGCTACTTATTGAAAAGTAACAGAGGAGAGTCCGGTGATGAAAATGGTTTCCTATCGTTGAACAGACAATGCATTTTATGCCCAGTTCTCGAAGTGGAAAACGTCTGGTGAATGCAGATCGGAATTTCCGAAGTTTCTTTCGGCGAAGGTCTATAAATTTCGGACGATATATCGGCACAGGACGCAAATGGATTCTTGCGGGAAACACCTTAGCGAGAAGCATGGCCTAGCGAGAGAAAATGACAAAGAAGGTAGTGTTCTTGTGGCCTCGATTTAAAAGGATAATAAATTTAACACAAATTCTAACAAATAATCATATATAATTTAATTCAAAGAACAAAACAACCGAGTCTTAATCGAAATAGTATTCTTTATCGAGATATCTTAATCGAGGAATAAGCCTATTTTGTACACCAGTTCTTTCTACATCCAAGAAAATAGCTCTAATCCAAAATCTTCGTTCGAATCTTCGACAAAATCAAGCTAAATAAAGCAAACCGTACAAAACAAAATTTGCAAGCATGTGGATAGTAACGGTGTCGAAATCGTTCGCCATCTTGAATACTAAACGCATGCGCCGAAATGTATGCGGATTGCCGCTTGTGTGGTTGTGGTGCCGCGCGACGAAGATGCGTTTGCGACACCGCTTTTCCTTGTCGCGCCGCATGTGTGCATCCTCCTTAAAAGCGCAGTAAAGAAGTGATCTTTACCTTGTATATAGAATCAGTGGACTAATGGCAATTGTCTACGATTCGTTTAACACACTGTTTCTAAAGAACTACGAAGTGTTACTTTTACTTCTGAAGGTAGGAATTCACTTTTCTAATGAATCATAAGAATTGTGTAGATGACATGAAACATAAACTTTCTATTTTTCTGCGGTTTTAGGAAAATACGAAATATTCACTAAAAATCAGTTTTAAAGTATAAAAACGTTCTCTATCAAACCAGACACCAGACTTTTGACATGAGGAGGAAGTCGGACGGTCTTGGGGATAGTGAAGTCAGATGTTTGTTTGTTTAGTTAACTTATGGCAACGCAACACTTGGCCGATCTGTCTAGAGGGGATGCTTCCGGGAGGTATTTTTAAGAGTAACTGAACCCTATTCAGGCGTTACAGACGTGGAGAAATCCCGGAAAATTCCACGCGGCCAGTCCGTCCTGACGATGCGTGAACCCACATCCAAACTCCCAGTGTTAAGAAAACGGAACCGCTTGGCCTCTGGTAGACCAGCGAAATGAGATTCCGCGCTCGAATTATCAATTTAGAACGAACTAAACTGTTTTTTCCAAGAAAGAAAGTGCTTCCTTTTACAAAAATAAATTAAACTTGAATAAAAAAATCATTATTTGAAATTAATTTACGTATCATTTTAACAACTTCGTTAAAACATCTCCCCCTTATCTCCAGATTATCACATAAAAGATAAAAATGAACATAAACAATTAAGTTAATTTTGAATTATAAATTATTTATAAATGTAGATTTCATTGTTCTCTTAGCATATAATGATTCAACTTTGATGATTGTATGATTAAGGTTTCAAAATAACTGCTGACGTTTCTTCTTTTAACAAAGCAGAAACATCGATGAAAATATCAAAGAAACATTCCTATATAAGAAATGGAATATAATATAATAATGGAATAATATAAGAAATGGAATAGGAATATAAGAAATATTCTTATTATAACGCGGTCTGTTAACATTTCAGTTTTCTTCTCGATAATACACAGATGCAAAATCATAGTAGCGTAAATTATTCAATAATATTTATATCCTTTGAATCTAAAAATTAGGAGTGCATTGACAAATAAGTATTCAAAACGTAATCTTCCTTTTTAGATTTTCTTATATCATTGTTTTTTTTGTGTTTTTTAAGATACCTTTCATCGCTAAGTGCCTAAATATCACGTATTTTTAAACCGTGCTTGTATTGTTATTAAATTCTTTATGTATGTGACTAAATATGCGTATTATACATTATACTAATAAATAAATAACAAAATAATATTTATATTCTTTAGATCTAAACATTAAAAGCGCATTGACAAATAAGTATTCAAAACGTAATCTTCCTTTTTAGACTTTCTTCTATCATTGTTTTTTTTGTGTTTTTTAAGATACCTTTCATCGCTAAGTGCCTAAATATCACGTATTTTTAAACCGTGCTTGTATTGTTATTAAATTCTTTATGTATGTGACTAAATATGCGTATTATACATTATACTAATAAATAAATAACAAAATAATATCTAGGTCATTTATTTTAATTAAATTTAAATAATATTACAGAACAGATATTAAAAATAGTTACATTGAGAACTTTTTGAATGTTTATACGTGATACTAAGTTACTATAGTTGTAGTTTAATTTTAATATAGGAACAATTATTGTCAATCGATGAATGCAGTCGATTTATGGAGATATCCACTCCTCATTTCTGAACATTGTCACAGTGATCAAGAAAACACGAGTGTGTACTGTTAAAAGCAAAATTGAACTATTAAAATATTCAATCACAAATTATATGTAAATTTAATAAAAGAAATTAAACTTACTCTAAAAATTCTGTTACGCCTTTCTTAGCGCAATAAGAATAATGATTTTTACCAGGAAGCAAGGTGGGTGAGCAATTTTTAGCTTCCGAATCGTGACCAATATTGATTCTACAATATCATTTACCTATTTAAAAATGTCATTTGGATTTAAAACTATTTAAAAAAATTACTTACAAGTGTCCAATTTCGTGAATAAAGGTATCAACCGCATAGTCCGTAAAGATGCTATGTTCTGCGATAGCAAATTTGTTCCACGAATTACAAGCAGTTCCTTCGAAAGCCAAACCTGCAAAGAAATTTTTAATGCTCATAACATTAAAAATCCTGTTGAAATAAAAACGTAACTTGAAATTCTAGATTTGTTACCGGAGATGTGATGTGGATCTTCTCCTGGCTTTGGGAGAGATAAAATTAGACTACGTCTGGAAGAAAAATAATTTTTTTATATTTTACTATAAGTAAAAAAAACAAATCGATTAAGTATAAAACAAATATCAACGATATTTGAAATGTAATCGTGTCAATTAGCATTAACATTCGATAATTATGAATTAAATAATAGTTTTCGTTCTTTTGGTTCTACCGTTAAAGCGTAATACAAATCTATTGTCATACTTCATTCTTACCCAGTTAGAAGAACAATAATATCGGCTCTTGATACAACAGGACTGTCTTCAATCTCAATCATTTTAGAAAGGACACTACCAGCGATGATATCGGGCGAATAGAGACTTTCTTTAATGTAATTCGGTTCGGTTTCGCTCTGAAATTAAAATATACATAAAGAAAAAACGAAATATAAATGATATTTTTCGCTATCATTTAACTTACTGTATATTAGATACGTCCAATCAAACGAAGTGTTAGATTGAGTTCTAATTCATCGAGATATCTTTCCTGTGACTGAAACACAAGAAAATTAATATAATAAAGAATTGTAGAAGTTTGATTACATAATAAATCAACTTTTTAAAGCTTACCATACGAATTATCTTATTTAGATATGGTCTTATTTCTTCTTCGCTAAAATATGTAGACATGAAACTATCGGTCACTATCACACATTCAATCACCGGACACGGTGATGTAGAATCTATTTCAAAATCCTCTGCATCTGCTACATCATCTACGGTTCTCTTCTCTGTCACAGATGATTCTACCAAAGTAAATTAAATACAGTAGAGCGTCGATTATCCGAATCAATTGGGGACTGGGGTTGTTCGGATAACCGATTATGTACGAAAAAATTGTTTAATTTTAACCTATCCTATGTTGAAATTTCTTTCCGTTGCGTGTCGCTTCGCGTTGAATTTTCGTCGATATTAAGCCTAACAAAGACTATTTTATCGTTAAAAATTATTTTTATATTTTGTACAAACAAAATAAATATATTGAAAAATATAAAAACAATGAAAAATTATACTTCAGATGTTAATTTAGTATCAAAAACGTAAAATATTTGAGTAGCCCAAGACATAGCCAAAGATTGAAGCGCCACAGCACTGGCGAAAATTTAAATTTGCCGACTGGAATTCTTTCGGATAATTGACGTTTCGAATGATTGACTTTCGGATAATCGACGCTCTACTGTATTACTACTTTTATATCCGTTTCTCTTATAGTCAATCCGAGTAAATGTATAAAATACACTTACTTTTCGATTGCTTGAGTCCGAAACTTTTTTCATAAGTATCCACTATAATAATGGAGAAAACCATTGCAAATGTAATTAAACAATTCATTTTTGGATTTGAAATGTCGTCTTAATTACATCGAAATTTAAGTATTAATAATAATTTATTATCGATAAAGGATATCGAATCTTAACTTAATTTTAATTGAATTTTCTGTCATGGAATTTATATCGATTAAAATAAATTACTTCCTTTCTTTATAATTTGGGTCGATGATTACATTTAATTTCGTAAACACTATAAACAGAATATTCGATAGCATTTATAATTTAATAAATATTAAATATTGGTAAATTTCTACTTAAGATATACCATTCTCATAGTGTAATATATTTTTAATTATTTATATTTTATTCTGCGGGGAGAAGCATACAAAAAATCATACAAGATTATACAACATATCTATATACATAACCCATTGAACGGGTATCCATCTGTCCGCGTAACGGTATGCTAAAAACGTGCACTAGAGGCGCCCTCGCGATGATTTTAAATTAACAATAAATTATTTTTATTTGTAATAGGAATTTATTATTGATATGAATTCATTATTTATACCACGGAATAATATAAGTAATTATTATATGCGTTGCCTTACTTTATTATATGCCTCGATTAACCTTGCGCCGCACGTTCACGACATCCCGTGACTCGGTGAACGTCGGGCATTGACTCACGGGAAAAATACATTTAAAATCGAGGTTTACAAGCGAAGGTAAATAAACAAATTAAACAAAGTTTTAAAGTATTTATAGAGTGTTTAATAGGTAGAAATATAGATCCGTATGACGCGATTGGGAAGGTAAGATTTACCCTCCGAATGAAGGGGTGGCGACCCCCCCTCTGTGCGAACAATAAATGTTTAATGAACCATCCCCGTACGCGCAACCCTTCCCGAGATATAGCCCTCCGAAAATTATTCTACGGGTCACGTGACCTGTTTGCCACAATTTACCCTGCCAATGAGCGGGTCGGCGACCCCTGGAGTGCGCGCGAGCGCGCGTTAATTTTTTTCGCGCGGTAGGCTTATTGACCACCGTGTCACTTGACCGGAAATGACGTAGGCGAATTTTCAGGGGCTTATATCTCGCGAAGGGTCGCTCATAGGTGTATGGTTTTTTTGACTTTATTGTTCGCACAGGGGAATACAGTTTGGGGTTGACAACCCTTCATTCGGAGGGTAAATTTTACCATTGGGACATTAACGGAGCTGTAAAGCATACTGATAGGAACAAAAAAGTCAAAGGAACCGTGCCTCATGGAAATTTGTAAAGAACACCCACTAAGGGGATTCCCGGGCTACTAGTTTATTAATATAAAACCAATATATACAGCAACTTTACCTAAAATTCAATAGAATGAATTTAGGTTTTGTTTTACAAAAACCTAAAAGTGGGAAAACTATCCAAAAACAAACACTGGGAGTTCGGTCGTGGGCTCGGACAGGCTGGCCACGTGGAGTTTTCCGGGTTTTCTCCATGTCTATAATGCCTAAATAAATGCTAGTTTTCCTTAAAAAGACCTCCTAGAAGGCATCCCCTAGGCAGATCGCCCAAGTGTTGCGTTGCCATAACTTAACAAACTATTTATCTTTGGACGGCCGGATGGCCAAGAGGTAAAGTTGGCAGCTTACCGCTCTGGAAGATGAATCGATAAAAATCTCCCGGAGTTTTTCGGATGTGGGCCGTTTGGATATGTCGGGCCCTGCTGTGGGTTTCACCGAATTATAAGAGGCTTGCTAAGAGAGGCCTTCTCAGTGCCCACAGGACAGAAAGAGTACTAAAGAAAATTCAGCTTCGAAATATAATAATCGAAATTATTCAACTTTAGTAAATAAACTCCATTAACATTTTTTTTAAAAATTTCAAAGTTAATCCCATTCCTCGTACAATTTACAAACTTCGTTCAGGGCAACACTATCCGTTTCAAAACAAAACGCAAACAAATCTTGCTAAGACATTTTTCTACCGGGTTTAAAGTTCTAAAAACCCAATTAACGCATTTGTTCAGGATCATACGAAACAATGGAACCGGTAAACATTTCACACACAGTAAATATCCAGGAGTGCATCTTGGGAGCCCATACAATCTCTTAACATAAGTAGGTAATACTATATCCAAAATCTCCCTCCTGAAACCCTAACAACTCAGAGGCATAGAGAAGAGAGGAGTCTACAATTGCATTATATTTCTTTAACTGCTTCCTTAAATTACGCAATTTCGCAAAGTTACACATTTGTACAATTTTATCCGCCTTCATCTCAGCATTAATTCTACGAGTCCTGAGACGAGTATTAAAATTAGCATTGCTTTTAAAGGTCACACCTAAATACTTCTATTGTGAAACACCCGATATGGGGACATCACTAAAACACCATTTATCAAACTTAGAACCATTGCCACCATTTCGAAAAACAACAATTTTAGATTTTGTAAGATTCGATTGTAGAGTGTAATCCATTATATTTATCCAAAAGGTCGATCGGCACCCGTAACGACATCTTTGATACAGCCACAATTACCACATCATCCGCATACGCTATTATTGCATTCGGCCCATATTGATAATGATGGTGTCAATATTACATTGACTCCATCAACATTAATGACTTCTACTTTGTAATTATTAATACAGTTCAATAAATCATTTAAATATAAAGTAGAAAGAATGGGGCTCAAAATATATCCCTGTCTAACACCCTTGTTTGAAAAGAAAAGAGGATTTGCTGTTCTCAGCCTATTTAATACTAACATACGAGCCATAATATAACTCTACAAGCAAGTTAACAAATTTAAATCTTAATCCAAAATTTAACAATTTCTTTCATAATAAATTCCTGTTAATGGTATCAAATTCTGATGCTAAATCTACAAAAAAAATGCATATACCTTACGCCGTTTCATTCTTAATATCTTAATCGCATACAGAATGAAAATTTTTTCAACAGTCGAATAACCTGCACGAAAACCAGTCTAATTCTTTCACATAATATCTGTCATATTCAACCAACTTATTAACCTATAACACAGCACAACAACGAAATGCCTCTATAACTTTTAGGCACCAACTTCGAACCACTCTTATGTACCGGAACCAATAAAGAACTCTTTCATTCTTCTGGGATAGCACCTGTCCTCAACGCCTTATTTACTTTAGAAATAAGGAAATTTATCGATGTGTGACATCTTCAACTTCCTCTGATTCAGAGGAAAAGAGGAGGGTTCCTTCCAAAATGAAGAAGAAGAATTGACGTCACAAAAATCTATGCCAAAACTATATAGAATGTCCGCTAGGCTACAAGCAAGTTACAACTTTGTTTGGGCGTACCGCGCAAGCGATTTGCAGTCATGTCGTCCGAAAACTGTGTCAAATAAACTTGGGCTACCAAACCAAGTAAGGGTTCGGCTAAACAGTTAGTCTAGAAAGAGAAGTAAGAGAAGACAAAGAGGAAGACAAGTATAAGAATTGATACTTTAAACATCGAAACATTAATTGGGAAGTGTTGAAAGTTAGTTGATCTTATGCAAAGAAAGAGAGTGAAGATTCATTTTCATCTTGCAAGCACAAAAATAAAGCTAAAATAACTTGGTGAATGGTTAAAACTGTTTGTCAGTGGAGCGAATGAGGGAGAAAATTCAATTTTTCCCACTAGTAATAAAGTGAAAAACAGCAAGTCATTTCCAGATTCAATACCTATTTCTCAAAACAAAAAGTGTACATAATTTAATACGAAAATAACAAATAAATATTGAAATTATACAGGAAAATACAAAAAAACAATAAATAATATACGCAAATTCCGTATAACAAAGTAAAAATTACATTCCTTTGTCTCATTCCAACGACTTTGCCAACCTAAACGTGAACAGCCACATCCCCACAACGTCAAAATCATATCTTTCTCTTATGTCTTGGTTGACTGGTGGATGATCTGTAATAAAACATTTTTTTCTTGTGGAAAAATTCGATTAATTCTAATACTCAGAAATTAAAAAACTTACAAGTTATAACGTTACGTTCTACAGCATCAATCGATTTTACCACTCAGCAAGAGAGAAAATTCTTCCTGTTAATCTATATCTATATATATATATATAAATGGACATGTATGTCCCTATATTTCACTTTTCCGCCAAAAGTACACATCACACGTGAATGGTGTTTGTATGTGGTAGTAGCCCCAAGTCTCCATTTGTGCATAGGGGNTTTCCCACTAGTAATAAAGTGAAATACAGTAAGTCATTTCCAGATTCAATACCTATTTCTCAAAACAAAAAGTGTAGATAATTTAATACGAAAATAACAAATAAATATTGAAATTATACAGGAAAATACAAAAAACAATAAATAATATACGCAAATTCCGTATAACAAAGTAAAAATTACATCTGTTTGTCTCATTCCAACGACTTTGCCAACCTAAACGTGAACTGCCACATCCCCACAACGTCAAAATCATATCTTTCTCTTATGGCTTGGTTGACTGGTGGATGATCTGTAATAAAACATTTTTTTCTTGTGGAAAAATTCGATTAATTCTAATACTCAGAAATTAATATACACAAGAAAAAGTCTGCGCAAATCACGCAATTCGGCAAAACTTTTAATATTAAATTTCGTGGCAACGCAACAATAAAACTCTGTACTAACAAATTGTCAGAGTTTTATTGTTGCGAGCGGTCGTTTATTGTTGATTCGAACGGTTGGTTTTTCAGTTCGTGCGATTGAAAATTATTCATTTCAAGTGTTTCTTTGCATTTTTCTTCATTGCTGCAGTTTTATCCGTAAGTTTAGACTACGATCTTCCTATATTTACGAATTTTTGAACATTGTTAAGCCGAATATTACAATTAGTGTCCACGATTTTCCGATGTATCTCTACTTGCATAACAATTGACTGAAACGACGAACGGAGTCTTTCAACTTATTTTCATTCTTTGTTAAGCCCAAATTTAATAAAATTGTTAAAGCAAAATATAAATACTATAATCTGTAGAAACTGATTTCTCTAATTATATGTCAGACATTAAAATTCGTTGGAAAGATAAAATTAGTGCATTTAACAGAGATTTTATTATAATATTGATTTGGTACAATTTTCTATAATTAATACGATCACTTTTAAAATTATTTTTCCATTAGGAATCTTACAATTTACATGAAATTAAATTAACAAAACGAATGTTCCTTTAACGAATACAAATTGCATTTTCGTAATAGTCGTTTCTTCCTTTTGCAGAATGGATAATTTCAAGGAATTAAAGAAGTGGCACACCTCGGCCGATGATAAGCGGGAGGAAAGCGCCTCGTCGTTTTCCGCTTCGGTTCGAGTGATTCGGGTGCTTCCACAAGACGTCGAGGAGAGCGGAGAGTGCCAGTCGCCTACACCCGGCAACAAACGGGTGGTTGTCTTTACTCCCGACGATTGCGCCTCGACTGTGGTCGACTACCTGGGACAACGATACCCGGAAGTTGCAGAATGGACGGTGGAATGTCGATCACGCGAGATGGGACTCGACCGACAAGAGTCCAAAGTGATCGTGGAAACACTTATCAAGCAGAAAAAGCCTTGGTGGAAATGGCTTTTCTTCTGCTGCCTAAAACCTTTTCTCTGCCGAGGTCACTTCCACCCGTGTCCACTTTTCACCCAATATGATTCTGCCACCCGAATATGAATTTGTCACCCGAAAATACGTTTCACCCGGCTACGACTTAATTCACTGGACTCGACATTATATTCCGGATTGGGTTTTTTTGTTTTATATTAACGGACAAACATTTCTACACTACGATTAGATTACAGTCCACAGAACAACGGCAGTTTGATGGTCGGCAAAGTGACAACCAGAACATAAAGCAGTGTTTTTACCAGCTTAAAGTCTCTGTTAATCTATACTAATATTATAAAGAGGTAATGTTTGTATGTAAGTAAGTTTGGATGCAGCAGGTAATCTCCAAAACTAATCTCATCCGATTTCAAAAATTTTTTCACCAATATTTAGAATGGAACTTCAGGGTGGACATAGGCTGTATATTATTCCGTTAAACATGGGGGATGGACAGTTCTTTACGGTAAGCCTTACGGGGAAGGCTTACTGTGAAGAACTTCACTTCTATTATACTATTTTAGATGCGGTTTTTTGCATTTTTGATTGCATTTTAATAGGGTACGTCAACAGAATGTACACTAAGAAGGGATTTTTCGATATTCCCCCCGGGGGGAGAGGGACAGGATTAAGGCTTACTGTGAAGAACTTCACTTCTATTATACTATTTTAGATGCGGGTTTTTGCACTTTTGATTGCGTTCTAATAGGGTACGTCAAGAGAATGTACACTAAGAAAAAATTTTTCGAAAAATTTTCCCCCACGGGGGAAGTGTTATACATTTATAACAGATACATTTTGAGCCACAACAATGCGTGGCTAGGTCTGCTAGTCGTCTATAAATGGACGAGTCAACTTATATTGTACGGACATTCACACTGTATTTAAACTGTCATTGTAGTCAGTATACGTCCGAACCAGAATTATAATTATTTCAACAATTGATTAAATTTATAAATCGAACTGTCTTAAGTGTATATGAAGTTTTATATTTAATACAACTTAATACAAAATTTAATAATTGTTTAAAGTTTCGATATTTATCAAAATAAATATTAAAATTGCACATTTTTCGATTCATTAAAACGTTTTTACTTTTTATCAATATGTATTTCCATCTACATTAAGAACATTCTATATCCTTGGTAGAAATACACTATCAGTGACGAAAAAATTTACGTCATTTGCGTAACCCATAAATTTAACTTTTTCCCGCATTCCAAGAATGTATATTGAATTAATTTTACTTTTTCCACCAATTCTTTTGAAAAGAACATTGATATAAATGGCGAAGAGTGTCATTGAGAATGGACACCCCTGTCTTACATCTTTCTCACCGGCAAATGTTATCAATATCTACGTAGTTCGTTAAGCACGCATTTACAAAAACATACATTAGATTTATTAGAGACAATGGAGCAATTACAAACATTTAAATCGAAAACAAAACAGGAACTAACGCAAGAACTGAAATAACTACGGAAATCGAAAAACAAAGCACACCAATAAGACAAAACCCAAGAAACTATCGATTACATTATTTTGCAATAAATTATCTGGCTTTTTCCGAAGCATATTTTTCAATCACGTCAATGAAATTTGTTTGTCTATTTATGTGAGACTCGCAGGGGGCCACTGAGCTGATCCCTAATGACCACTTAATCCGCAACAGGTTGGTAAAACCCAATCTCGCGGTCGTTGGATGACTTAGGAAGGCAAATCGAGTGGGGAGGTCGTCGGTAATTCGGCAGGTGTCCTTTAGAGACAGGAGACAGGTTTAAACAATATCACAAAACATTTATTTAAATAATTAAGCTAGGTTACATGAGGCAATAACAATATATAGGTTAAATGCGGTTAAATAGATTCAATAAGTTGACTATAAAAAAAGCTGCTCTTAACAACTCTAACGGCTATCCTGAGAGAGAGTTCACAAAGCTCTAAAATACAAATACCTCTATGAGGATATGACTAATATGCATTCGTTGAATGGGCCGTAGGACTCGTAATCGGCGCAGGAAACGTAGTTGGCGATAATTATGGAAGTTCGAAGTTGTGGTGTGTCTTACGGCGATGTCCTTTCGGTCGCTATGTCCGGTGTATGGAGACAAGATGCACACATTAATAAGTATAACTTCCTTTGGTCGCCCGTAGCTTCCGGGGGGCTGGAGCTTTGATAAGTTCTTCGTGAGAAAGGAGTCACGTGATCGACTTCTGTTGACACTAACGGTGCATTCCGATCAACTAAGTGTCAACTTACCCACCTAATTGTGAAAACAACCAGTGACCTGCGATATACTTTAAACCAACAGCGGGGTTTTTCCATCGGAGGTGTTTACAATTCCTTTTTTTGGACAACTACGTAAAAATCGCAGATCTCACATTTACATAAATCATTTTCAATGCAGAAAAATTCTGATAAAAGCTTTCTCAGCTTTCCTCGTGACTCAGAAAAGTAATTTTTATACTTTTATGACTGATATAAACTCGAGGTTACGCATAGTATAACATAGTTAGAATCTAATATATAACGGTTGTCATCAAGAAACCAATAAAAAAATGTTTTATATTTTAAACAGCTTGTCACACGAGGAGGACAGCTAGAAATCATTAAAGAAAGGATGAAAAACACAATACAATAAATTACAGGGAAGAGTCCCTTCAATTCAGTATGTCTCTGTGCCATCCAACCAAGTATGCCGTTCACTCCCTCCAGCCACTTCGATTGACAGCTCCTCAACAAAAAGCGTACACCGAGATACTCCAGATGGTATCGTATTCGATGGTAAAACTTACAGGATTCTCACGATGTTTAATATGAGCGCATTCTTACCGCAGTACCGCTGTATTGACGGTCACAAGCCGTTACTTTTGGAAATCTAAATTTACAGAAGCGACGTTCAAATGCGTCTACGGTACACAATGAACAACCCTTCATCTAACTATAGTATGTATATTATATTAAACGATAATTTAAATAAAGAAACTACACATAAACGATAACAAATTTGTTTTATTTCTCCGAAGCAATAAAATAGATACATACAAAAGAATCATACTATATATTTGTAATGTAATTTCCAGAAATTAATTACCTAACACGTCTGTCCTGTTACAATAACTACTGTGTTCTTGGATACATGGGTGCAGGCAGAAGCTTTCTGCTTAAAATATGTTCTTAACAGATACAGTAGAGCGTCGTTTATCCGAATCAATTGGGGACTGGGGTTGTTCCGATAACTTATTTTTCGGATAACCGATTATACACGAAAAATATTCCATGTTGAAATTTTTCTCCGTTGCGTGTCGCTTCGCGTTGAATTTTCGTCGATGTTAAGCCTAACGAAGACTATTGTATCGTTAAAAATTATTTTTTTTTTATTTTTTACAAACAAAATAAATTTATTGAGAAATATAAAAACAAAAAAATATATACTTTAGAATTTAATCTAGTATCAAAAACGTTCGATTCAGCACCACATACAGTCATCAGAAAAACACCACACGAAAGTGCCAGAGCTGCCAGCTAAAACACACACAACAACAAAAAAAATATTCGAGTAGCCCAAGATATACCCAAAGATTGCAGTGCCACAGCACTAGCGAAAATTTAAATTTGTCGACTGGAATTATTTCGATTAACCGACGTTTCGGATAACCGACTTTCGGATAAACGACGCTGTACTGTACTGTAAAATTACCAATCTTAGAACTACCAAAGATTGTAGGTTCAAGTTTTTAAATTAATAGTGGCAAATTGCGGTTGTAGATCTCTTTGTAAGTATCCCAATTTTCCGTTTTTTCTATTGTTTTGAAATGTATCGAGACGTAAAAACAGAGGTTGGATAGCCACATTACCATTTATTTTATTTTTTCCATTCACGTCATCAAAACCTGTCGTTTCTCATTAATTATTTTAATGTACGACATTTCCTGAACAGAATCATTCTGTTTTTATTCTTCTGGTGCGAGCGACGTACGAAAAGGAAATCTGTATAATTATATTAT